GGAGATAGTTCTTCTTCATTGCAGTTCCTTCCCATGTTTTAAAGAACATTCGGGGTCAATTTATCAGCTCAACTGTGTTTTCACTCAGTGATGAGGCTGTGGCAAAAGATCAGCTGCCAACCAGTGGGGTGAATCTTGATTATATCGAAGCCGTGATCGAGTATGACTCATCTCATGAACTTAAGGCTGCTCCTGAACTCTCGGGAGTTCGCACGAGCACGGGACACTTTAAGGAAATGAAGGTTGGTGTAGCTGTGAACTTGTTTCGGGATTCACCTCTCGCAGTTCGCTAACTGATAAATCAAGGAATGCTGCCAAGAGAGTCGGAATCGATAGCTTGTTTCATGGAACTTGCTTCGAAGTGGTACAAGCTCATGTCAGCCCGTCATTTCGTGTTTGCGCTGAGTCACATGAATGAGCCCAAGTACCAAAATGCTATCGAAACACTATTCCTTGCTGTTGAGACCATTCAGACGATGAAGGTGGGAATTACCACCCACTGGAAGCCATCAAAGGCGGGCCTGCTCATAGCAACTCACGTCGTTTTGAAGCTGCTGGAGAGCCTCCTGAATGACAGAGGGTACAGATATCTTCTCACGGGAAGACTCATTTAGGACTGCCTGGAGAACTTGTTCTCCGTCATTAGACTCCGAAAGTTAGTACCAAGCACCTACTACATGAAGTGTGCTCTGAAACTTCTGTGCGTGAGCCAGTTGTTACACACATCAAGCTCGTCCAGCTAATAGCTGGACGAAAGTGTCTACTTGGCAGGCCTGGTTGCTCACGGCACTAAGCACACTGTTCACGATGCTGGCCCCCTTCAAGACGTGGGGAATCTCTTCGTAGAATCTCTCTCTATTGAAGAAGAGGATATTTTGTGTTACGCAGGAGGATTCATTATGGAGGGCATGATAGAAGGCATCGATAATTGTCACAGCTGCAACGGCGCACTGCTTGGTGGAAATGACAGTCAGTTTTGTGCGCTAACATCGCACAAGGAGGATGTACAAAGTGCTAGTAACCTTCTCCATCTTACCAACGGTGTGATGGAAGTACTGCACAAGTGGGAGGAGTATTTTAAAAGCCCAGCAGCCTCAGAGAGCCTCCTAGGCCTGAAGTCACCAGTCAAATCACCGGACCGGGACTCCTGGCTGAGGCTTAAGATTTATCTGCGCCACAAGCAAAGGGCAGCATGTGCAGGGCTTAACTGTGCTGGTGTGGAACTCAGAATTCAGAAATCGAAGCTAAGCCAATTTTGATGGAACTCGTATATCTGGGCATGCATTGTTTCCAAAAGCTATCATGCTGAGATAAATCATTTTATGTGAGAAAAACCGCTGTCAGAGACCGTGGTACAGGGCTCGAAGCTAATCTGAAAAGCAAACAACCCCGTTAATCTGTTTCCTTTTACTACATGGAATGGGCTCATTTAGAAAGCAAATTTTCTAAAAGTATATGGATCACGTAGGCAACAAAATTAGCAGCAGATTCTGCAAGGCGCTTTAGTTTTGTGGCTCGAGTTATGGCCTTGTCGTCAGCTTTCAGTGTGCTTGCTCAACGTGTCGACAATTGCAACGGAATTATTTATTTTTAAATTCCCTCCTTTATTGTTAGAGGTCCAGCTTGACAACTGATGTGAGAGTGTGCCCGAATTCGGTCAGAGTTCCCTAGGTGTCATTTTGTGACATGGCTGTAGGTCACAGGCGGCAACACAAGCAAGTCAGTGTTTTTTTTTAATGTCTGATGGCTGTGTCGTGTAGTTCTATGAACAATGGCAACAAATTGGCAGTGTTCTGGAGTTCCAGATTTATATTTTGGTGTTGTACGAAAAATAAATCTGGAACTCAAGTGCGCTGCCAATTTGTTCCGTAAGTTGTTTATTTAGATATGATGTAGTTTTTTTTTTTTGTGGGATGTATGTGTTTGGTTGCGTTAAATTGAATCTTTTGGATTTTGCGTGTGCGTTCTACTTTGTGTTTTCCTATCCAGGCACCTACGAGTCCTTTTTTGTACGTCTGTGTTGTGCAGTCACCGATTTATTTTAACACTACTGCATGTTTCAGTAAGTTGGTTTGTTTAGGTATATTTCCACTTTTCTCGTGGAATCTGTGTGTTTGATTATTTTTTTATTTGATGTGGATTCTATTTTTGTGTTTTTCTATACAGGCATTTGTGTGTCCTGTTTCTTGAATGGTTTTGTTGTAGAGTTCTAGATGGTGTTTCATTACTACATATTTCGGTAAGTTGGTTTGTTAAAGGGAAGCTGAAGCGGTTCTTTGTTTGAGGAAAAACACCTAAGTCGTCTTCGTTTGGCCTCCAGGATCACGAATATCGAAATCATTGTTTAATGTGGTGCACGGAGGCTGCAGATATTAAATTACAAAATACCGCCGAAGCCCCTCGTTACCGGGGCGAGATGTTATACTTTGAGTTTTCGGAATCCCTGGTCGTGCGCATCTTCAGCGCCTGTCGAAGCTATGCACGCGCAATCTTGCTATTTCCAAAAAGGTCAGAAAGAGACGTCACGACTGGTGTCAGAGTGGAAAAGTACAACTGGCAAGTTTGCGATTGCAGGAGCTGCCCACACGAGCGACACGCGCTTTGCAACCGAAATATCCTTTTATAACGTGACGACTGGTCGGAGGTTTCTCGTGTTTTCTCGCGTTTAGTTACATCTTCGGGGAAAACGAACATGATATTCAGATTCACGGGATAAAAAGACGTTAGAATTAAGCTCCTACTAGTATTTATCAAGAAGTGGTTTAGCTCCCCTTGGTAAGTTGTATTGTCACTTTCCTTGTTGAACGTGTGTTTGGTTGTGTGCAATTCTTTTGGATTTTGTGTGCGTTTTTTTTGTTCTCCTATACAGATATCCATTTGTGCTGTTTTTTTATATATATCAAGCTGCTGTATAAATAAATCCCAGTGGTGCTAGAGATCTCTACGACCTATACCTTTTTATATCCGTTTTCTTAGTCTCGTGCCTTCATCATTAAATCTTACCCGTGCCTAAACAATACTCTAAATTTTGATTACTGCCGATATCTTTGCCTTCAAATTGTCAAGTAAACAATAGTGTTGTCATATATCCTGTACCAAGTGAACCACATAACGACCTCCATCCTATCTACTTTAAATTTTCTTTGTAAGACTTTCGTATGTTGTAAATATTTCTTTAATTCCACCCTGTTGCAGGTGCCGAGGCTCTCTGTTGAGAATTACCTTTCATATGAAAATGAGGGAGCATGTTTGTTAAATGTAATGCCTTTTCTTTATTTTTGTGCTCAGTGCTATAAACTTATGTAATCTAACATGTCACTTACAATAATATATTTGTGAAGTAAAAGTACATCTATTGTTTTCTGCCTGCATCAGTGCATTTTAAGGGGACAGGTGAACAAAAATATTGTGATAGAAAACAAATAAAATATTCTGATTTATGGCTGCGGCAGGCCCTTAGAGAAAACAGGCCAACTTACACAATTTACTGATATCCACTGCTGCCGTTTAGAAAAATATGGGAACAAAACTTAAATTTGTCTTAATTTGTGCCCGCACTTCTGTCTGCACGCTGGTGCCTTGTAGGAGGATAGGTGATCAAAGAAATATTTTTTTTGTTGGAGAGGTTGGTTGTGAGGTTTTCAGTGCTGCTGCACCAACCGATGAAAACATTTTAAATAAAAAAAACAAACAAAATAAAAAACGGATATGCTTGCTTGTCAAATTACTTTTGAACCCTGTACTGGGGCCGCCTGTTCAGTGTTTTTTTCTTGCATCAAACGACCCATTTCAGTTTCATAGCTTTTGGAAGCACAGCACGTCCAAGTATAGAGAATTCCAGCAATATCGACTTAGTTTCGGTTTCTATATTTGGCTCCTTCCGATTAAAAGATGAACAAAAAAAAACTCTGCAGATTTTCATGGCATGTTTCTTATCGTGGAGCTCTTATTTCAGAAGCTCTGAATGCTAACCTAGAACGTATCACGAACACAATATTGGAGAATAAGAGGCGATAGAAAGTAGAACGTATATGTTTATACCTACGCCTTGCTTGTTAATGGCTTCCATTTTTTTTTTCATTTAATGCAAGGCCAAACTCTGGTAGGTATTCAGGGAGATGATAACGAACATAGTCGGTATCAAATATACTCGCATAGATCGAGCATCTATAAGAACTGGACCAGAATGCGAGCGGCAGCCGACGGAACTTTTGCGAGCACTTTCGCGCGTTTTATGCGGAATAAATCGTAATTTTAAATAGGAAATCAAATGCATACTCGACTGAACGCGTGATGTTACGCATTTTGAAGTGGTCACGCTTTATCTCACAGGTGGGAATGCTCACTAAATGCGTAGAGATCTCACAAACGGCTACATAATCCCTGTTCCACATATACTCGACGGGCGAAGAAAGCGGCAATATGGGAGCTCCGCTAGCAGACGACAGAGTTGTCTGCACTCTGGGTCGGCGCCAGCCAGCAACAATGAGCCACTCTAGTCTGAGAGTGATGCAAGCGCGACGCCTGGGCGCGTTGTCACGTGGTCTTTTTTAGATTTCATGTTATTTTTTTAGGCTAATGAAAAAGCGCGCAAAGCGTATCACGTAGGAAACGTTTCTCAATGCAATCTACAACTTTTCAATCCACACCTCGGCTCTTAACGAATAGTTAAAACATGAGCTAATGACTATTAATTACCTAATTAAATAGGCGCACTGAAAAAAACGTTGCACTTTCCCAAAACGCTTCATAACAACTTACAGTTAGTTTCAATCTCGCAGAGCGTTCAGTTTATTTCTAAACTTTTGTGCAAGTTATCTGGGTCACCATGTATAACTTACTGATGAATCTTTTCTGATTAGTTCAAAACACAATTACTATATTCATGGTGCCTCACATTATTACACAGTAGTGGGAAACTGCCATATCTAACTTTAGGAATAGCAGCTATAGTGCAAGTATTTAACTATTCGATTCCCTTCACACACAGGATAAACACATTATTTGATTAAATATAGCGTGAATACAGCTTTATGTACGTACCTTAAGTATTCCTTCATCTGTTGTGCCAAATTGCTTCGTTCGTGGTGCACACCGGGCACTTCTTTCGGGTTCACACTGAAAAATAAATGAGTAAAATAATAATAATAGGAAACAAAAAATAGCAGCGACCTTTAACTTCAAAGTCTTATAATGCATGAAATGTATTATAAAGAATTGGTGTGTCACGTGACGTACAATTTCCCACTAAATTTAACGGGAAAACCGTCGATTTTACCGCTAAATTTTGTGAGCAAACCGGATTGGTGTCCACGTCACAGGACATGAATTTTCTCGTTAAATTTAGCGGGTAACCGAATTGGAGTGTGAATTACGAGACCTGAATTTTCCCGATAAATTTAGCGGTGAAACTAAATTGACGTTTAGGTCACGAGCCGTAAATTTCCTCAAGGTGTAAAGGTCACCTGACGACAGGTGACGTAAATTTCCTGCCAAATTTAGCGGGGAAACCGAGTTGACGAACAGGTGACGAGCCGTCAATTTTTCTGCTAAATATAGCTGAGGAAGTGAATTCGTGTTTAAGTCTCGAGATATCAATTTTCCCGCTAAATGTAGCTGGAAATGCACAAACGAAAGGACGGCCGGCCAAAATTTTGGGATTGGAGGCAGCGTTAAAAAGCATTTCAGCCTTTAATAATTCGAAGAGGTCTATTCGACCCATCCATGTATCGACAGTAAACATCTGCTAACACGATAGAGCTATCTGACTTACGTTCTTAATATTGCACATAATTAGTTAATGGTGGGCAAAAAAGGAACTTGATCGTACTAAATTTCCGGTCTGATGATCGCTGACTTCAGAATGACGGCGTTCTTTTTTGTACAAATCAAAAATAAATCTAATATTCAGCTCTTAATCTAGTGCTCTAATCGTGCATATGAACATCTTGAAAGACACTTTTATGGCCATAAAATAATGACAAAAAATAAGAATTCTGGTTTCTCGGAACGAATCTATTAAAGAGGCAAGGGATGGTTGCCATGTTTTTGTAGATTAAACTTTACATGACCAAATAATGTAGTCTGTAACATATTAGTTTTATAATTTTAATATTATTGCGCTATATAAAATAACAACAACATTTAGTTTATTCAGGACATCGCAGTTAAAACTGAAAAAAGTGCTCTTGCCAGCGTCATGTCGTGAGGGTGACGCGAGGAACGAATCTGCGGGTTAGCCGCGAGATTTCGTTTCTTTTTGTGTATTTCATTTTGAAATCATCCGAATAACTTGGGATATTAATTAAAACGTTACTACTGTCGCCCGGCTACTCGAGCTGGCCTGCACAGCACGCGGCACGAGCGCTGGAGGCTCGCGCCAGCCGGAGCTAGCGTGGAATACTTCCTTGTTGAATATACCTGAGACTGGGGTAGAAAAGAACATAGAAGTCGAAGAAACAAAAAGCTACAGGACGACGTCTCAAACTCAGCTACCAGGTTTATTTAGTCCTCCTCCTTATATAGCCCACAAACAGCCCACCACCAACACAAATGGGCAACTCTAACCAGTTCAAACGCCAAACCCTCCAGACAGTCACTACTAAGTCGAACTGAAGTGGTTAGAGTTGCCCATTTGTGTTGGTGGTGGGCTGTTTGTGGGCTATATAAAGAGGAGGACTAAATAAACCTGGTAGCTGAGCTTGAGACGTCGTCCTGTCCTTTTCCGTTTCTTCGACTTTTATGTTCTTTTCTACCCCAGTCTCAGGTATATTCAACATGGTTAACATCCACCAGCTCGCCTGCACCCTTACTATTTTATCTCTGGAATACTTCATCAGAGCAAGCACCCTAATGCCCGTGTCCCACTAGAGCGACAGACAGAAACAAACGACTGCGACAAGCCTCAAACCAGAGTCTTTGGTGATTTCAGAGGCTTTTTAGAATAAAGGAAGCTACGCTCAAACACCAGCATCATGAACGCGAGGGTATCTTTGGCAGACTTACAATCGCTCGTGCTCACTTCACGAGCACCGAACGACTAAACACCTGCCACACGCGAGCTTGCTGCATGGGTTTAAGGCTTGTCGCTGTCTTTTGTTTCTGTCTGTCGCTCTAGTGGGACACGGGCATAACGCTCACTTTGTCAGCTGGTCCCGTCTTTGTCTCGAGTGCCGATCGAGGGCCGCAATAAACGTCCTAACGTCTTGCTGGAGGCGCGGGCCGCAACGCCTTTCCTCGACCTCAGGTACGATTATGGAGCTTCGTAGTGGCACCTTATCTCAGCCCAGCACGTCGGCCGCGCAGCCATCACCCGCCGGCACCTCTTGATTTCCCTCACCCGCCCTCACCAAATTAAGCCACAGCCGGAGGCTCCAACCCAATTCAACCTCCACAGCCGGCCCGTTTGGCATCCATCCTCGCGCCAACGGGATCCCAAGTTATTCTCCGGTCTGGGAGATAAAGTAATAGAGTGGCTAGACCTCTATGAGCGGATTTCTCAACCGCGGGGATAACGGCAGTAAATTGGCCAAATTGGGACCCGTATGGTTAATATCTCATATCAAATCTGGAGCAAGTTCAACGGCGTGCGTTACGTTTTGGTTTTCTCTAGCTATAGACGGCTGGACTCTGCGTTACCTCTTTATAAAAGGGCAGATCTACCCCTCCTTCAAGTGCGGAAGAAGCAGAAGCGGCTTAACCTTTTTTTATAACATAATGAATAGCCTGGTTCTAGTAAATAAGCAACGGTATATGAATGAGAGCATGTCGCGTATAACCCGCAACAAGCATGCTCGGTATGTGGAAGAGCGGAAATTTTCCAAGGACTGTTTTATGTACACGTTCTTTTTGGCAAATAGCGCGAGAATGGAACAAGCTACCGGCACACGTCGCGACAGCTGGAACTCGAGAAGAGTTCAGTTCCCTTGTTCCAGAGATTTCTGACAGCAGTGCCTGGAGTTGCGATTTCATCGTTGTGTTGAATACGTGTTATTGATCTGTGCATTTTGAGCGCGTGTATTTTTTGTGATTTTTGTGTTGTGCAAATCCACTCCTATCTTGGTCCTGTGTAGGACCGATAGTACTTCAAATAAATAAATTATATTCTACTTCACGGATGTGGCCAGAACCTGGTATCTAAATCACGAGACAGAATGGTTCACACAAGTAGCCTTCACAATCCGTGCAAAGACTCGGTTGGCCTGAATATTGCCGCGCCACAGCAGAACGTCGCCTTAACTCTCGCGTACAACAACAAGGCGAAAGCTACACAGCTTACATCGAGGACGTGCTCCGTCTCTGTCGCCGAGCAAGACGAAAAAATGCAAGAAGGTGAGCGCGTCCGCCACCTCTTGAACGGAATCTCCGAGGAAGCTTTCGCGATGTTCCTCAATCAGCCGCCTCCCGATCTCCAACCTGTCGTCAGCGGCGTTGACATCGGGAAAAACCTAAGACGTGTAGGAATGCTTTCTCATTCCTACACGTAAGCAGTCTTAAGTTTTCGGAATCAAAATTTATAATCAAAATCAAAATTAATAATAATAATAAATGATATTTCGTAGCATCAACATTGTAGTGCGCGTATACGATCCCCAGACAGACGTTGCCGGAAAGGCCGCCTGAAAGTAAAAGCGATGGTGGTCAACTCTGCTGTGATTTTTTTTCTCACCAAAGCGCCTCGGTACTGCACTCAGGCTTAAGCAACGTCTATGAGTGAGCTGACTTGATGTCAATATGACATTCCGTCGAAGCTTCACAGACATCCTGAAGTGGCTTTTGGTTATCGTTTAATTACGTTTAAAATATGTTTTGTCGCGTTTTTGCTTAAAAAAATGGATATTATGATGTCCTACTTCAACTCCCCTTACGTCTAAGCAAAGAGATAAGCTCCGATATATTGGTTTTCGTACTCTTTTAATTAAGGCGGATTGGAATTCGAAACACGTTCGGTGTATTTTTAATTGCCTCGCCAACTTAGCGCATCACAAATGCGAGCTCCTACTTTTGCCATTTTCTCCGCACACTTATTTCATTGAAGTCGTCGTCCAAGAAACACTTAACGAGTTTCGAAATGATGTGAGCCATGTTTACGCGTGCGCCGGGACATCGGAACCGGAATGATTGTAAACGGGTGTCAGATGGTGCCTCAGTAAACTTAACGTGCCTATAGAGCCTAAATCAAAGAAAGGACAACTGGGCAAACAGCGTGCAAAAAACAAGGACAATGTAAAAGTACACACAGGACAACAACTGACTCGCAACAGAACATCAAATAAAAAAACATGAAACAACAAACCCGTCGTTTATGGATGGTCAATCATCACGTCTCTAAAAGGGCAACCTCTCTGCTGTGCAAATGTAGGGAAATTCGACAGACAATTTCGTATCCCCTTCTTTTCTAATCTCAGAGGCTTCTAAAATAAAATCAAGGTACAGACCATTCGGTCTGTACCTTTTCCAATAATTTCTGGTCTTTTGAAGATGGGCCGCAACCAACTACCAGCGCAACAAAAAGATACCCCCCCCCCCTTTCCCCATCCCCTTTCCCAGATTGCTCCGACTCCTGATTACAAAGATAGGTCATGCTGCCGCAAACTTTAGTTTAAGGAGCAAAGAAACGATTTTTTTAATGTTTTGCTAAATACTCCTTAGAATCGCTGAAGAACGTTACGATCTAAATAAACTTGTCAGATTTTTTTTTTTTTTTAAGCGATGGGCAGTTGCCGAAAAATTTCGAGGAATCCGAGCATCGTTCATCCCCTCAACTCGCAGCCAGAGCATGCGGTTCCATGGCCTGGTGCCTATCCTATGTCAACAACGTTAATCATAGCCACGCGCTGGGGTTGGCAAAGTGGAAAATTCGTGTTGAGCTCCAGGCATTGTTATACCACATGGGCGCACTTAACCACGGTTAACTCAGCTGGAAAAGGCGACGTAACAATGTTTGTACTGTGCGCCAATACCGCCTAGAACGGATCCCTGACGTTAATGACCTATGAAACACGCGCTCGTTTTTCACCCCACGCAGTGGAAGTCCCAGAAAAAATATTAAAGAAAAACGAGCAGCGTTCACCCCCTCAACTCGCAGCCAGAACAAGCGGCCACGTGATCTGGAGCCTATTATATTCCGTCAATGTTGATCATAGCCACGCGCTGGGGTTGGCAAAGCGCAGGACACGCGCTAAGTTCCAGACATTCTTATGGCTCGGCTATTGTCGTCGTTGCAGCGATTGGACACGGGCCACTACCCGAATGCCTCTCGAGCTAGTAATTATCACGAGCCCAAATCGAGTGCCCACGCAATGCTCGGGTCCAATCTATGAACCGCATTCAAATATCGTCATTGGGGTGTAGTGCGATCCCCACGTTACGTCATGAAATTTTGCAAAGTAGAGATTGAATGAAAATGATCGCCTTGGTCCTTGAAATTATACCGCAAAAAAGGGGTTTTTTGGCCAGTGGCGTTGCGTGCGAGTATCTTTGAGTACCACTAGAGCCAGTAAGCTCGTGTAAAGTGAAAAATATTCAAATTGATAATTGTTGCACCGCTCCTTTAACTGCTGTTACGCGGCACCACAGATGCCACACTATTAGCGGCGAGATATTTTGCTGACGCCCTCCTATGGTTCCCTCTCGTGACGTCATTACCTTCCGAACAACGAGTTCGTTGGTGTTTGATATTAGGATGGTAGATGCTTGAAATCAGCTCAAAGAAACGCTGCCAACACCGTCAAAATTAAAGTTCTAACACTCCTCTTATTTCCGTCGATGAGAAATCCTTGGCTGACGTCATATTCAGCATTCGGCCAATCGACGAAGGCCGACCACAGCGACGCTATCGATCGCGCACGTCGCCAATACTCTCGGACAGCTATTCCATAAGAAGTGAAGAGCGCGCGTGCACTGCTTCGATGGATGATCAAGATGCTCAAGCGCACGTTCGCCCATAGCTTTCAGTGCGTAGCCGCAGAATGTTGTGGTTGAGGGCAAATATTGTGCGCTGTGGCTTAGCGTAACTGCAGTTAAGTGTGCCCGTGTAACAAGGGTATTAGAGTTAAGCTATTCTCATCGCCGCAGTGGTTGGGCACGAACCGCTCTCCGCATCTCCGTGGAGGCATCGATTGTTTTGAGCCGAAGTCCGAGTTCTCACGCAGTTCTCGTTTCATGAGCCGTGCTTCACTGTAGTCAGGTGGGTGGCTTCGATCCCACAATTACGTCATCGAGCTTTCCGAAGACAAGACTGAAAGAATATTTAACTTTTAACTTCGAAATTTCACCGTGACAAAGAAGCTTCTGATTGAGTGGCGGTCTGTGCGAGTATACTTGGGCCAGGACCAGTACGCCTCTACACAGTCATAAACATTCCAACCCGATATCGTTTCATGACCCCTTTAACAAATCTGCTCGTCTGGCCCCTATAGGATATTTTTACACGTAAGCGGGAATTCGTAAAATACTCCCACCTTGCAGTTAACGTATTGATTCGGCTCTTTTACATGAATTTTTTAACCCTGGTCAGAATGGAACAGATGGACGGGACAACACGGAATTGAAGATTCGTGTTGTCCTGTCCTTCTGTTCCCCACTCTTAAAGATTAAAAATGCCAGTTCTTAACCAGCTCGGCTGCATCCTTAGATTAATTTCTTTTACTTTGTGCTTAAATTTTTGCGCGCTTTTTGCTCAGTTGCCATCATAAACCAACTAGCCCACATGGCCACCCTATTTGAAGAGAGAGTCCATCTTAAACCATGAGGAGCGTTTGAAATTTAATGGCGGACGCCTCCCGCACCGATTGATCGCAATTGCACATGCGCTGCGTTGTCACGCGGCGAAGGGGAAAGCAGGCGGAAAGGCGGAGGCGCTCGCAGACGATCAAACGGGTTCGTCTCCTTCTCGCCGCTCGTATTGTAAAAGCGGCCCATGAACCACGTGACCCTGATCGAACAGTTGGAAGCTCTGTAATGAAGGCTCTCTAAATGTGCCTATTCTCGAATGTCGACAGCTCTGCGCCATCACGTGCACATTCGCTGACCGTGGTGAGTGCCTCGCGTGTTTCTTTCGCTGTCCTCTCGGCCGAGCCACTACGCGTACAAAATACTAAGGTTGGTTTCGATAAAAATGTTATCTCAATTAATCGCCACTCGTTAATCGATTAGTCATCTGATTAATCGATTTATTCTATTCCCATTTATAATAATTTAAAAAAAACAGGCACAATTAAACTTTTTGGTCTTTGTGAATACGTGATAAACGGCGCAGAGTACAATTTTGAATACTAAATCAACCTCGATCTGTTGTTGACAACTTTAAAAAAGACTCCGACACACACAAATTATTGCAAAGAGGCAAAGAGGTTAGTAGGTATTCTCCAGCAGCTGCGAACTTCTTTTATCGTTCAAAATAATCTCTGAGGTGCTATTCGGACATTGGCACCGCGTTGAGGTTGCTGGGACGCGTATAACAATTCTCTGCTTGTTTTGCGTTACAAATCTCGCTCCTACAGTTTGCTTTATGTCAAAAGTTCACCTAACGTTTGCCTTCGTCCTGCTGTACTCATTCACGTCTGCCTGATGAAATCGTTGCATTCTTACCTTTTCTTTGCCAAAATGTTTTTCTGATTAACCGGTAAAAAAGGATAATCGGGATTAAAGCATTAATCGAATAATCGGTAGGTTAATCGAAAAAGTGCCCAACCCTACAATATACATATTCTAAAAGTGCCGTAATGTTTTGAAATATGTGCAATTTGTTACTCAAAGATGCGTAGAGCGTTTAATTTGGCCGAAAAGGTTAAAGGCGATGGACATCCAGTGTCTACTTTGGTTCATACGCACCTGCTCCTGATCAATTCGGCCAACATCCGGCTGATGTCCGTATGGCGGTATGGACTGTATGCTAACAGCATAGTTACGACGCTCTCGCACAGCGTAGTCTGCTCGGAGTATCCTAAAATACGAACATATTATTTTATTTTTTTAATTTTCCTCGACGTGCACTTTTTTTTACGTCACCTTATTTGGTCAAGGTCCCTTAATTTAAATGAATAAATAAACGTGGTTGGAGTTTTATCGGAAATGTTTGCACTCTACTTAGATAGTATTTAGTTAATACGTGGTTCTCCAGGTTAACAAATTATTTTAGGTAATACATTATACTTCTTCGTTTTTGTAAGCTTTATAAAATATTTGAATCTTTAAGCACAGACAATCTTTTCTCTTTTTCTCATTCCTGGGAGTTTACCGCTCCCCCTCTCTCTTCTCTCGTGTCGCAGACCATTCTAACAAATTTCATTTCAGTTCATACCTAAGTATGTACACAACCTATAAATTTATGATACTTTTATTCACTGCCGCCAAATAATTCCTCAAATATTTTTGCATCGTTCGACGTGATCAAAGGAGCTTTGTTTTTTTTTTTCTTCGATTTTGAGTATCTATTGTGTTTATACCTCCAGAACATTTATCGAGGAGTACTGGTGTCTCCTAGCGGTGCAAGTACCAGTAGTGTTAAATCGTCAGTATTTCAAATATTGTAGCAAATAGGGAAGAGTCGAGTCCGACTATTTCAAAAATAGCTTGATAAAATTGATTTTTAACGTATTAAGTCACTAAATGAATTAACTTAAAACTTTGACCCTAAATTTATTTTACACCGCATTGATGAAATAACCTTTAAATGGTTAGCAGACATGAAATGGACCTTTTCCGAGAAGCGTTCTGCGCACGCGCGAGCGCCCGATGCTAAGCGTCGGAAGTCGGAACGAAAAATCGAGGAAATTCGGAAGGAGGCTGTATATCAGCGAGTAGAACACGTAACTGCAGCATATATATAGTTGTGTTACACAAAAAAAAAAGAAAGAAAAAAAAGAATGTCAACGGAAAGAAGTCGCGTTGGGCAGGCGCCGCTGCTCAGAGAGCGAAGAAACTGGTAGCGTAGCTCCCATTATCGATTGGTAGCGCAGGTAGGTCACTTCCTCGATTTTTAGTTCGTGCAGCCACCGCCTGGTGCCGTCGGTATGTGGAGAAGGTCCATTAGGGGGTGGGGGTGCAAATTACGAAGTACACAATTTTTTAGGATTATTCTACGCTGTGTTTAGTGACTAGTGATACTAGGGTTATTGTTTAGAGTAAAATATTCCTTTAGACGGGAGGCGTTAGATTATGAACTCCAACTATTAGACACTCGATGGCGCACAATATTACTTAAATGTATATTGAAACATTTAAAGATTCATAAAACTCTCGGGTTGCGCTTTTTGAGGTAGGCATGAAACATATTTCGTATTTTTATTAAACACATCAAAACAACACATCTTTAAAATAAGTAGAAAGTTTCAAGTCATCGGTCTTGAAATAACTGAACAAAGATGGACTCACCATAACCCTTTCTTACACCATTTCCATCGTAGAGATCATTGCTAGAAATTCAGGAATGTGAGCTGCGCGTTAGAGTTCGGTCTCAAAACTTTATGCTGTCTTTTCCTTACCCCGTCACAAGGCAAATGATGTCCGGATGGGTCTTCTTTTCGAAATAAGACGTTAGGTTAAATATTGTTCCTTCGAGGTATACATAGGGTGTTCGGTAATTACCTTCCAACAGCTTTTGCAGATTGGGATCATCTTTCTAAATGCAAATAACAGAAACACACTTCAATATTCTTCACACGTTATTAAGAGATTACGATATACTCGCATATATAATCTTCTCACTTGCAAATTATTGTCATCAGTTCTAAAATGAATGGACTACGATGTACGAAAGTAACGGCGGAGCGTTTTATTCACGTGCAGGGGCCGTTAAGGCGTAAACAGCGTAATTGTTAGCTTTAGAACGATTGTTTTGAAATTTTGTACGAAATTATTGTTTTAAGGTAAATAAAATGTTTTTGGTTGGGTGATACTAAAATTAACTGTCAATCAACGGAAAAAGTAAGAAACGTCATTTGTCACTCTAATATCAGTTCGCTTGTTATATACGCAGCTAGAAAAACAAATCACTTTTAGCAACACTCAGATTAGACTTCATTAAAAATGAAGAGCGTACTTCAATATGTGTTTTTTTATAGATACAGAAAACTGGAATGAGCCGCCAATATTTTCTCTCTCACGTCAAATATCAATCTGTTAGGCATCTAAAAGGGCGTGGAATAGCCTCTAAATACATCTTTAGCAATTTACTCTATGATAATGTCGCCTTATATCGTTGACTTCGTGTCTCGGTCAGTGTTTTTTCGGCGCTTTATACCCTTTACTCTATGATAACGTTGCAATTTCTTACAAGGTATTTTGTCCTGTTGTTAAGGGTGGTCTGGATGTGAAAAAAACTTTGAAGATGCTGTTGAGCCTGAAAAAATAAATAATACAAATTAAAAGCCACACACAAAGGCGATGAAAACATCTTCAGTGATACAGTGATTTATTAAATAAATAAAAATGCAATAATTATGGTATTACTTGTAGTATACTTGAAACTACTGTATTTGATATTAGTTAGCAATGCTAAGTGTTGGATAGCGCTACACTGAGCAGCCGAGCTAATAGAGCACCGTCGTTCGTGTTCATAAACTCGTGCCTTGCGCCCGTGCCTAGTATGTACTCGGCTCTGAGCCGATCGCCATATATTAAACCTCTTGTCTTACCGTGCTATCGTGTCATCGTTCACTGGCGCAACTTGCAACACTACTTGCAACATGGCGTCAGCAGTGGGATGTCGCCAACAATGAGCCGATTTAAGAACCTTTTCAGCGGGCACCGCCGCGCCAACCAGGGACCCACACGAAGGTAGGCGACTTTGCTCTCTGAGATCTTCGGCTGTAGCAACGCGATAAATTATGGCGTCCTTTGTCATACAACCGCCGGAAGCGTTTTGCTTCTATTCGCCGACCGAGTGGCCGAAGTGGAAAAAAACGTTTCGAACGTTCCGCACGTCCTCCGGACTTATCGCCAAGCCCGAGCTACACCAAATAGATGCTTTGCTCTACATCATGGGAGACCAAGCGGAAGATATATATGGCACGTTCCAGCTGTCTGCCGAGAAGGCCAAGAAGTTTACAGTCATCATAGAGCAGTTCGACAAGTATTTTATCCCGCGGCAAAACGTCATCATTGAACGAGCTCGTTTCAACACAGAAATTCAAGATGAAGGCGAGTCTGCGGAAGATTTTGTCACAGCGCTCCACGCACATTCGAAGCACTGCGACTACGGCGAGCTTCAAGAACAGCTCGTCACAGACATTCTAGTAGTAGGAATCAAAGATCAGAAGCTCTCAGCAAGACTTCAACTCGACGCCGACCTCACGCTTCAGAAGGCGCTTGAGACGATTCGACAGGTCGAAAGCGTACGTCAGCAGCAAGCTGAGCTCAATCCCGACAAGTCGACTGCCAACAAAGTAGCCTCGGCGCGTCAACAAGGAGTAAACCAACGACGTTTCGTCAAGACTTCTGGGAAATTTGCTCATTCGAACGACGAATGACCTCACCCTGAATTGAAGCCAGTGAAACCGTAATTGCCACAAGAAAGGACATTATTCATCTGTTTGCAGTTCTCGACGAGTTGACTTCGCTGAAGCGCCTGAAACCAACAGCGAACAAGAATTTTTACGAGAAGTCAAGTGGTCGGATCCGAAGCTTCGAACTGGGAGACTACGATCCTGGTTCAAGGCCAACCCGTAAAATTCGAAATCGACACGGGCGCCGACAAGACCGTCTTTTCACAAGCAACATTCGACATGCTCAAAAGCCAGCCTCTGCTTTTAGAAGCACCTCGTCAACCTTACGGGCCCGACGCAAAGCTTCTCGCAACTGAAGGCGTTCCAAGACTCGAACTCGCTTACCGCGACAGGACAACAATCCAAGACGTCTACGTGCTTCACGACGTCCACACGTCCTTGCTCGGAAAGCCCGCCATCAATGATCTGCAGATACTCACATTCGTCAACGCCGTCACCCACAAGCATACCTCGGCAAACCTCACTCATGAGGGCCCTCACTCACCCTCACTCACCCTCATCTTCACAGGTGAGGTGAGGGTGAGTGAGTTTCTGAACCAGGAAAATTCATGAGTGTGAAGGTGAGTGAGGGCCGTGAGGGCGGTGAGGGCCGTGAGGGCGGTGAGGGCCGTGAGGGCTGTGAGGGCGGTGAGGGCCGTGAGGGCCGTGAGGGCCGTGAGGGCGATGAGGGCGGTGAGGGCCGTGAGGGCGGTGAGGGCGGTAAGGGGTATGAGGGCCATGAGTGCGTGAGGGGCGTGAGGGCGGTGAGTGGCGTGAGGGCCATGAGTGCGTGAGTGGTGTGAGGGCGGTGAGTGCGTGAGGGGTGTGAGGGCCATGAGTGCGTGAGTGCGGTGAGCGCGTGAGGCCCCCTTCAGATCGAGCATCTTTCTCAGCAATTTGGTGTTAATGGCGGGTTGTTCTCTAGTTTTCCCTAGATCAACACGAATTGCTGAGATCGGGTGCGGCTCGGAATAAGCAAGCAACTCGGAGCAATTCGAATACGTTTGCAACGGCTGCATCCAATCAGGGACGCAAAATTTTCACGTGATACCGTTTGAAATCGATCGTTTTTTTTGGAAATAAACTGTTTCAGAAAGGTGCATTAGTATTCTTAACGAGATTTAAATGCATAAAAACACGTTTAAAACGCGTAATTGTGTCTAAATAGTGCAAGAAAAATAAAATTTTATGATGACGATGGCAAATTGCAGCAATTGGTTGCTGCGTGTGATCGCGGGCGGCCCGTGTTGCTGGTGTTGCGACGTAAGGTTTCTGGGCGAATTTGCCCCATCTGAAGCTGGCCTGAGTGGCGTGAGGGCCATCAGAGCGTGAGGGGCGTGAGGGGTGTGAGGGCCGCAAGGGCGGTGAGGCGCGTGAGGGCGGTGAGTGGCGTGAGGGCGGTGAGTGGCGTGAGGGCGGTGAGTGGCGTGAGGGCCGTGAGGGCGGTCAGGGCCGTGAGGGCGGTGAGGGCCGTGAGGGCGGTGAGTGGCGTGAGGGCTATGAGTGACGGTGAGGGCCGTGAGGGCGGTGAGGGCCGTGAGGGCGGTGAGTGGCGTGAGGGCGGTGAGTGGCGTGAGGGCGGTGACTGCCGTGAGGGCCATGAGTGAGTGAGGGGCGTGAGGGCCGTGAGGGCGGTGAGGGGCGTGAGGGCCATGAGGGGCGTGAGGGCCGTGAGGGCGGTGAGTGCGTGAGGGCCGTAAGGCTCAGTGAGGGTGAGTGAAGGCCTGAAGGTGAGTGTGACTGTGAGGGTGAGTGAGGGGCTGAAGGTGAGTGTAGCTGTGAGGGCGAGGGTGAGTGAGGGGCTTAGGTGAGTGTGGCTGTGAGGGTGAGGGTGAGTGAGGGCAACCTAAAATGCCGACTTCTGCCCAGAAGTTAATCCCGAAAGTCGAATTTCCTTCACTGTTCTAAGCTCTCGGCAAGCTGCAAAAAGAACACCGCATTCGCTTGCGCGATGGAGCGGAACCATTTTTGTATCAACTCTCCACGCCGCATCCCGATACCCTTGTACGATAAAACAAGGTTGGAGCTACAGCGAGTGCAGACAATTGGTGACATTTCTCCCGTCAAAGAACCAACCGAATGGTGTGCGCTCATGGTAGTCGTCCTCAAGCCAAACGGACCGTGAGAATCTGCGTCGACTTTACTGGTCTGAATCATCACGTCCTGAAAGAATGACATTCCATCCCTTCCGTCGAGCCACACTTGGACTGCTCCACGGCGCGAAGATATTTTAAAAACTAGATGGTAATTCGGGATTTTGGCAAATTCCACTGGGCGAAGGAAGCAGGAAGCTCACCACCTTCATTACTCCGTTCGGGAGGTTTTCCTTCAACACAGTACCTTTCAGCATATCCTCTGATCCAGAGCGCTTTCGAAAGCAGATGTCTAGACTTGGGTGGTTCTCATTTGAACCCGTTCGCATATCTACCTTCTCGTTTTTATCTTCTCATTTCAACCCAGCACAAAACAACTTTCGCGTTTCTCCCTTTCTCATTTAAACCATTCTCAAAACAAACTTTCGGGTTTTGACCCTTCTCAAAACGACTTTTTTCATTTTAACCTTTCTCATTTCAAATTTTCTCAAAACATACTTTCTGGTTCTGACCATTGTCAGAAAGACTTTTCTCATTTTAACCTCTCTCATTTCGAACCCAAATTAATCCAACATCATGATCTCGCAATCATTCTGCGGTATTTATGGCGAATTCGGGTAATTGATTTCCTTCGAGCCCTTGCCTGTGGCACCGGCGACCAAAAACGTGCCAGCGGCGCATCACGTCTCCACCCGAATGCAAAGCACAATGAACTGGCGTTTTTATTTGACTGGGTCGCGAGTGAGCTCTGTTAACTTCTTCTTCGATCATTCTTTGGTACCATGAGCACGCTGCGTACGCCGAAAACATAAATTACGACTCTTTGAGATATGTGTAAACAGAAGCGGCTTTACAAAACTTTTCAAAATCTTGACATTACCACAGTCCGTACAGCTGACAGAATATTAAAATATAAAATCAATGAAAGGGGAGATGTATAAATCAGTGTGGTGCTGCCCGCACGCGCGTCAAATTTCAATAAACTTCGTTTGGATTTTCGATTAACTGTTGCCACGGAGGCTTCCCAGCGTCGCTTTCCGTATTCTGTTTACTGTTAGTAGAAAGTTTTTGTATATCGTTCCCATGACTCCGATAACGATACCCGATACTCCGCCACCGCCTCCCTTGCGCATGCATAGTATCGTTATCGGGGCTATCGGGGGTATCGGAACGATCTACTAAAACTCTCTAGTACCCTTTTTTGGAATCCTCAGTCTTCTCATTGCACCCGCCCTCCTTGAAATCGTAATGCGTGTTCAAGTTTCAAACTGCAACACTATGCATACTTTTTTTTTCAGCGGTGTAATACCTTGTTATTACAGAGGTGTAAAATAAAGTGATGTATGATCCAGCTCGTGTCTCAGAGCAAACATACCTTGCTCAGGCTGGATAAATTCTTCCAAAAATATTGACTTTCTTTGAAACATAAATTATCTTTCTCTTCGTTGTTTTTGCTATCTTGTCTCAGACAACAAAAGGGCGCCTGTCTCGATGGCTTCGTTTGCCACTCGAACCCGCTATTTGCCGCCTCAGCGAGCATTGTTTCGTTTGGTTCCCTATCCCGATTCGGATGTGACGATACCGGATACAGTCTGGCAGACAAGCTGCCCGACCTCTTGGAGCTCGGGAAAACTTCTGCTGGTAAATTGCCGGTACACGCCTGAGAAGCGCAACCCGAAAAGCTTGCACCCGCCAGCCTTTGACCACGCGAACGCCCTGAAAACTTTTTCAGGGAAAATGACCATCCGAATTGGCCATTACAA